TCCACGGCTGCAATCTTTATGGAAGTAGACTGCCATATCTTTCTTCTATGGAGCAGTTGGTGGTTTTGAACTGGCGACTCGTGGTTTAGCAGCTGAGCTCTTAACTACTGTGCTACCAAGGCTTCTTTTAGAGGTGTAGGGCCTTATTACAGAGCCTTGGTGAAGCAATGGTTAAGTGCTTGGCTGCTAACCAAAAGGTTAGCAGTTTGAACCCACCAGTGGTTTCATGGGAGAAAAGACCTGGCAGGCTGCTTCTGTAAAAGATTACAGACTAGCAAACCTTAAGGGGACAGTTCTGTGTCATATGGAGTTGTTATGATTTGAAATCGAGTTGATGACACTTGACTACAACAGGGCCTTAGTGCTCAAGTGTAGGTCATGGAGCAGCAGTTCTGGTAGGACCTGGACTTATTAGAGGCTCAGGTGAATAAAGTAACTTGTCCATAGTGTTACACATTTTGTAAAATGGTAGAGCAAGAATTTCTTTTGACCCTTGGATATCTGCTCCTAACCACCATGGTAAAATTTTGCTTTTCTTAATGTCAATTTTCCAGTTAAAGTGTGGATAGCAATACCATCTACTCCATCATCCCCAGGGGTGTTGGAGAAAATGAAATATGTTAAAATCAGTATTAGAGGTTGGGAAAATGCTCACAGATAAATTTAAGCTGAGTAACTTTCACCTTATTAGTTCCTGAAGGTTGCTCTAGAATTTAATGGCTGGCCCCTGTTGGAGATTGTTTTCAGTTGGTTCAGCCTTCGTGGGCAAACCACTTAAGGCCCTCTTCACAGCATAGCTCTTTGTGATTTTTGAAGACAGCTATCCTGTGTCCCCTACCCTGGAAATCTTCTCTTCCAGGTGCAATAGTGCTACTTTCTGCAACTGTTTCTGATTACTGTTGTTTCTAGACTTTCTATCAGTTCTGAGTGGTGCAAATGGTTAATGTGTTCAGGTGCCTTGGAAGAAAGGCCTTCTGAAAAATCAGCTATTGAAAACCTTCGGGAGCTCAGTTCTTCTCTGATACACACAGGATTGCCACGAGTCAGAATCAGCCCAATAGCAGCTGGTTACATCATATGTATGATCCCCTCTAGCCAGAATCTAGTTTGTCATTTGCATATTAACCCAACAGTACTTGAGTGCCTGCTATCTGCCAGGCACTGTCTCAGGTTTCCTTTGACATATTATTCCCTAACCTGAGTGTAATTGTCTGGCTCTGCCACTTACTTTTTTTCTGATTATTTTGTATCTCTGTAGTTGGTTTATAAACTCTTTGAGGGGTGGGGCTATTTTTCTTAAATCTGTGTCTGTATTTCTTCTGGACTAGGCAGCAAGCCTAAAAAAATACTAGGGATTCAGCAAATGTCTGTTGATGGACTCTGGGAGATTTTACCCTTTCTGGTATTGTTATTTTAGGCCTTACCTACACTGTCCTTACTCTTCCATGTGGGGGTTTTTAAACTCATTTTCTTATTTCTTTGAGGGAGATGGCAGTGAAGCATTCACCTTCTGCTAGTGCATATGTGATTATAATGCAAAACCATTATTAAATATCTCCCAGTGAATTATTTCCTTTCCTTATAAAGCAGAGTGTTTGTGGTCATGCTGTATTCTGTGGTTATCTTTTAGCTCTTAGAAAGAGCTTTAAGGAGAAAGGGGATAAATAAACTGCACATTTTTTAACCCTCTTTCTGCTTGTGTCTTTGATGTCAGATGGGCTCCTTTAAGCCGGGAGGCAGAGTGATCCTGGCCACAGAGAACGATTACTGTAAGCTCTGTGATGCCTCCTTTAGTTCTCCGGCTGTGGCCCAGGCTCACTATCAAGGGAAGAATCATGCCAAGAGGCTTCGGCTGGCGGAAGCTCAGAGTAACTCATTCTCGTAGGTATTGCCGTTTTCTCTGAGGCCTAAGTGTTGTGTGAGACTTATTGCCTTTAAGTAAAAGAGTTGAGGGTGATCCTTGGTTTGATATTCTCACTTTTTAAATTTCTTTCCTCCAGGGAATCCTCAGAGGTGGGTCAGCGAAGGGCCCGGAAAGAAGGGAATGAATATAAGATGATGCCGAATAGGAGAAATATGTATGCAGTACAGAACAATTCAGGTACCTTGTGTTGGTCCCCATACTTCAGCTACATTCTAAAAATGGTGTCCTTTATTTTTATTTTTAGAATGGCAATAGATAGCCCTAAGAATTTGGGGTTAATCATTGTTCTGTTGAATTGAGCCAGTAGCTTTTCAGGCTGGTATTCATTTCAGGTTTTATTTATTTCCTATTTGGTGTATTATTTACTGAGGTTTTAGATGATAGTCTCTGTTTTAGAGTTTCTATGATAGTCCCTTTATATTTCTTCTGGTATTTGCCATTGAGAAATATAAAATACATTATGAAAATGGGCTCTTTGGTTTAAAGTTGTTTCATGTTAAATTGTCATGTTTTGGGGAGTGATTAGAACAGTAGTTTTCAACTAGAGTAGCACCTCAGAGTCACCTGGGCAGTTTTTACAAAATACACCTGCCTAAACTGTGTCTCAGAGATTTCAAAATCATTAAATTTGGGGTGGAACCAGATATATGTGTTTCTTGAAAATGCTTCCTCAGTGATTATGGTATACACTCTCAACTCAGAAGGACTAGTGTGTAGGACTGTTTTTCTGCATTTTCTGGTTGCTTTCAGTAGGACTGAGCAGTTCCTCCTCCTATAAAATCCACTCTCCCCCCAGCCTCACTTCCATACATACATACACATCAATTGAGGTCATTCAGGTGGAAAAGTCAAACAAAAAATCTAAAAAATATTATTTGAAAAGGTAAGAGAAGCATAGAAAAAAGGGGAACTATAGAAAGTACTTAAGCAAAAAAACCCAAACTCACTGCTATTGAGTCTATTCCAACTCATACCGTTGAGTTTCCAAGGCTGTAAATCTTTATGGAAGCTGACTGCCTCATCTTTCTTCTGTGGAGCAGCTGGTAGGTTTGAACCACCAACCTTTTGGTTAACAGCCAAATGCCTTAACCACTACAACACCAGAGCTCCTATGGAAAGTACAATGTAATAAAGAAAAAAACCTAAACAGATACCAGTAATTATGTTGTTGTTATGTGCTGTTGAGTTGGACCCTACTTGTAGCGACCCCTTCTTGGCTTTCTGAGGCAGTATCACTACGGAAGTAGATTGCCCAACCCAGTTGAAAAATAAAGATTTTCTAATTGAATAAAAGAAATTCAGATAAAATGAAAGTTGGGAGAGGTGTGTTAATATCAGAGAAAAGAAACTTTAGGACAGAAGGCACTATTAGGCATAGAGAGGGCAAGATGTAACAGTTTAAAAGTGTGTGTGCCTAGTTTAAAAAAATATATCTGAAAGCATAGAAAACAAAAATCAGTAAAATTGTAGGAGTATATTACCAAATCTTTCATTATATTGAGGGATTTCAAGACATCTCTTTATTATGGGCCAAGTAAATAAAAAATTGGTAAAGTTTTAAATAAAAGTAACCAAAAAATGACTCACTGCACATATTTGTAGACACAGATACCCAATAGAGCATAGAAATTTGTTCAAGCATATATGGGCAATTTACAAAAACTGCTAGGCATAAGGACCCCTGGTGGCACAGCAGTTAAGCACTTGGGTGTTAACCAAAAGGTCAGCAGTTTGAGCCCATCAACTGTTCTGCGGGAGAAAGGTGAGGAAGTCTGCTTCTGTAAAGATTACAGCCTTGTAAACCCTGGGGGGGGTCAGTTCTACTCCGACCTTAGGGTTGCTATGAGTTGGAATTGACCTGATGGCAGCGGGTTTTTTGATAGTAGGTATAAGGCAAGTCTTAACAAATGTCAAAAATTGAAGCGTACAGACTAAGTGCTCTGACTAGAGTACAGTTCACTGAGACGTCAGTAATAAAATCATAAAACAAACATGATATCCATTTGTTTGGAAATTTTAAAACATTTCTTAACTCATGAATCAAAGAAGAAATCATATGAAAATTAAAAATTCTTAGAACTAAACAGTAATAAAAACATATCAAAACTTCTAGGATGTCATGAAAGCTTATTTTGTGAAAATTTAGTTGTAAATGTTTATTGTTATGTTAGAGAAGCAGAAAA